ATGGAAAATCCTAGCACTTGATCACGCCCCAGAGGTCCAGATTTGCTCATGCAGGTGTAATTGGGCCATCAGGATTAAAAACAAACAAACAAAAAACCTCTCCAAGAATTCTAAAGCCCACATTGCATTGCTCTTGTTGGTAATTCTCAAAGTGAAATATGTTCTGTCCCTACAGCATCCATATACCTGGGTCTTGTTTAGCTCCGCTCTCAGACTTGCAGGATTTCTGGGTCCCTTGGAGAGGTCCCTTGGGAGAGGGACCCAGAACTCAGCAGTGAGAGGTCCTCTGAGTGGTCCTGACGCTTACCAAGATGAGAAAACCATTTTTTTTTCTCCTTGGAAAAAAGGCTGCTCTAACAAATGCTCCTGACCCTAAAGATGTGTAGTCAGAGGCCAATTAAAGCTAAGCTCACAGGTACGTGAAAGCAGGCAGCTTGGAGTGGCCAGCCAGCGAATTGGCCTGCAGAAGGTCCCAGGAACACTCTGCTCCCGTGCTGGCGCCCTGCGATGGCCACTGCAGCAGAGGGTTCCCACCCACGCGGCACTGCGCCCTCCCTTCTTGCCAGTCATTTGGTTTGGTTTTTTATGGCAAATTGATTGACCTACCGTGACAGACCCAAGGTCTGCTGTGGCAATTTTCAATCGCTACCAACAAATCAAGAAGGAAAACCAGTGTGGATGGGAATACCTTCGTGTTGCCACCATTTGAGGCACTTGTGGAGACCTGGGCAGGCTGTCAGACAGGAGCGGAAGCCATCCGGTGCCACGCCCGCGGGGCAGGGCTGCCTGCAGGGCTTTGGAGGAAATGAACCCAGATCTCCGCTCTGTGGGGCTGCAGAGTCAGAAGGATGCAGCTGCGATAGCCTGGGAGAATGCTGTGACCGTTCCAGGCTCTTTCTGGTAGTGTGACCTTGAGTGGTTCAGGCAATCTGAACCCCAGCTTCCTCATTTAGTAGAAAATAAACAAACAAACAAAGGCCGGGGGAGGGGGTACACAGCTACTTCCTCCTGGGCTGTGATGAAGACCGAGATATCCTCACATAGAAACATCCAGAACAATCGTAATTAATCCTGCTTACTCCGTGAGCCCCCCAGACACTACTCATCATCGAGTCAGACGGCCTCGAGAAAGTTCCTGAGATCGAAGGCTCGGGAAAATCAGGCACCCGGGGTGGCCTGCAGCGCCTCGTTGGATCCTGATTTCAGAACATTCTTTACTTATTTATATACTTATTTATATATTTATTCCTAGCACCCTCGGTCTCCTTTGAGCCGCAATCCCGGCTTCTCTTCACCCTTCTGAAATTTCACCCTCATTCACCAGTCGGGGCGCTAACTGAAGCCGGGGGACGAGAGGCACGTGGTGGAGAAGCACATCCGAATGCCAGCGCTGCCCGTGGGCAGCCGGAAGCTCGCGAGGCACGCCGCTTCGCCCTCCGCCAGGTGGCAAGCGGCAGTCGGACTGCTCTGCCGACCGGTCGGTCCTTCGCCAAGTCTGACCTTTTCTCGACCCACCCGACGCCTCGGTGCAAAGCAGCAGCACGGCGCGGCCGATCGCTCCTCCCCGCCAGGAGAAGCTACTTACTGTGGCTGAGCTCTGCTTCTCTCCATCGGCTGTCTCAGCCAGGATGCTCCGAGAGATGGGGAGGAAAACATCAAGAGAAAGGAGAGAAACGGGCACGGAGTCATCAGGGAAACGGACTTACCTGGTTAAGAAGACTGAGTCGGCGAAGGACGAGTGGGCAGCTGGTGGCACGGCCCGCCCAGCTCTGACGTCGGAGCCGGGGAGTGTGAGATGGACAGTCGGGGGGGGACCACCGGCCTCGGGGCGAAGGCCGCGGGTTTGGGGTCCGGGGGTCCGGTGGCACGAGACGAAGTGCAACTGAGCACAGCAAGTGGCAAAGAGAACCGGCCCTTCACCCACCCACCGTTCCGTCCGGGTGCCCGGGCAGTCGGAGGGTGCCATGCCACCGGGGCACGAATTGTGCCGATTGAAGGAACTAATTGAGAATGAATTATTCTTTACCATCTGAATGTCGCTGTAACCAGTCGGATCGGCTATCACACATCATCTAAGTGAGTTTTAAGAGTCTATTGTCCGCTGCAGAATGTTCTGGAAAACGGCAACTCCTCAAAAGGGCAACTCATCTTCAGCCAATCCCGCTCCAGAATTCTTCCCATCCTTCCTCAGCCGAAGAACCATCCATCCCTTCAGCCTTTGCAGGCGCGTGCTCTCACAGAAGGCGTTCACCACGGCACCTGCAGCGCCGGGTAGTGGGGCAGGTGCTCGGTGCAGCGTTGCTTAGTCGGCCTCCCGTGCAAAGGACACGTCGGCCGGCGGTCTAAAATTATATATATACACGTTCAGAGGCTTGAGATGCGCTTTCGGGTTTCTTCTCCGCTCTGAGGAGGGAAGGGTGTGGAGGAGAGGCAGGCACAGTGGAGCGGGTGAGGGGTTTATGCCCCTCCTGATGTGGGTGCTGGCCCGGCCTCTGCTCGCGCCCCAGTCCATGGTTGGTCGGTTTCGGGGCGCGCCTCATTCCCCACCGAGGTCGGTGTGACTGTCCGCCTGAAGCCCACCCCACACACCTCCGGAACGGCGCGAGCCGCCATGCAGCAGTTCAGAGCACTGCTCGGGCGCCCGGACCGATGTCACCGGGCCTGGTTCAAGTCCCAGCTACTCTTCCTGCCCTGGCGCCGTGAGAGAGAGCAGGAGACGGCTCCAGGACGTGCGTCCCTGTCGCCTGTGTGGGAGACGGGGTGGAGTCTGGGTTTAGGGACGTAACTAGACCTTGACAGCGGTTTCACTTGCTCGCGTTTCGGTCTTGCCTTCTCGAGCCCAAATTTCTCTGCCGCTTGGTGTCGCGTTTTTTTCAAAATCGCCCACTTCCGCTAAGACCCTCAGCCTTTTCCAGAAAAGCAGGCACTCTCAGCCAATCAGGACTGCCTGCTCGTTCGCACCACCACATTCTCAGCCAATCAGGGATACCTGCTCGGTCAGCGCCACATTTCCAGCCAATCAAGGCTGCATCCACTTTCGCGCCATACTCCCAGCCAATCAGGACTGCATCTATGGTCACGCCACACTCCTGGCCAATCAGGACTGCATGCTCGTTCGCGCCACACTCCCAGCCAATCAGGGCTGCATCTACATTCGCTCCACACTCCCAGCCAATCAGGACTGCATGCTCGTTTGTGCTGCACTCCCAGCCAATCAAGGCTACATGCTGGTTCGCGCCACATTTCCAGCCAATCAGGAATGCATCTTCGGTCACGCCACACTCTCAGCCAATTGGGACTGCATGCTCGTTTGCGCCACACTCCCAGCCAATCAGGGCTACCTGCTCGTTCGCGCCACAATCCCAGCCAATTAGGACTGCATCTACGTTCGTGCCACACTCCCAGCCAATCAGGGCTACCTGCTCGTTCGCGCTGTTTTTAGACTCACTATAAGCCCCTCTCGCCTGCAGCACCGGCTGTTCTCCTTCCGCACCCTCCCCGATGGTCAAGGTCAGTTAACTCAGTTACCTGACAGTAAAATCTCTTGTGTGACCCGTGGTGTGTTGAGGGGTGATTTGGGCTTCTCTTTCGTAGCCCTGACACCTAGCATTGGGTTCTTGCCTTTGTCTTGGCCCAGACTTGATTACCAAGCGCATTCGGAGAGTGAACCGGCAGATCTCTATTTCTCTGCATTTCGAATAAAATGAGAATTAAAAATGAAAATTCAGTTGGTTTCTGCCCACTCCATCTCTTTACTATCTTGTCAAAAACAAGGGGGGAGGAATCACAAGGCCTTCTTTAGCTTTGTGGTTTTCTCTCGAGTTCTCTCGAAGAAACCGGTGACGACTGCCTGGCTTGCGGAAGGAGAGGGGAGCCGAGTTGAAGGAGCCACTGTGGAAATCAAGCAGACGGATTTGGAGGTGGAGACAGCGGGGAGCCATTGCGGATGGCTGAGCGAGTGATGTGGGCAGGAAAGGAGAAGGGGCATAGCTTGCACAGGCTGAGCCCAAGCACAGCGTGTGGAGCCAGAGACCGATGCCCAGGCCTCTGGACGCAGCGTGTCCGGGGAGCGGTGTCGGCTCTAATGCATGCAGAGTAACAGGGGGTGAACAAAATCAAGACACAGGAGCTTCTAGTTCTGAAAATCAGCTGAATAGAAAAGCTAGTGGCAAAACTGCAGCCTCTTTGGGGAGTGCAGAAAGCAGGGAAGGAAGTTATGGTGCATTCCATCAGTTGGGTTCCTGTCTCTGTAGCATCAAATGGCCATCAGGATCTTTTAAGATTTAAATTTTACCCTTTCCTAAAAGCATAAGGAGGGGGCTGGGATAACCCCATGGCTCCTTACATTTTAAGGAGTTCTTATTTTATACGCTGTCAATATAGGCTTTAATTCTCTCTGGAAAATGAATATTTTTCAGAGTCCCACGGGAGCCGTTCCTTGTGGCATTTGCACAGCCGACCGTCCGAGCTGAGTGCTTATTAGATCGGATGAAATATCGCTGGGGTTGAGCAGCCAGACATCATCGGCCACCCACTGGACACGCTGGGAAGGAGAGAGGGGCCGAAGGCCAAGCGTCTTGAACTGGAAAAGTACAATTGCAAGATTAACAATAGGCACCACAGCGTGCATGGCTGCTCGTGGAAAATGAGCGTATGATATCATATAACAGATTAAGACACAGCAGCAAATTCGCTTTCACAGCTCACGGTGTGACAGCGTTGAACTCGTCCTTTGAGCGGCATCTGTCTCTGCTGCCGCTGTTGGAACAGAAGACCGCAAGTGTAGTGGCTTCCGATGGCTCTCTGTTCCACTTCCGCAGAGGGCTCCATCCTCACCCCCCAGCTCAGCAGGAGCAAGGGCCAGCTCTGCGTATGTTGAATGGATCATTTCACTCAAAAGTTTGCTGTCCGAGTGGTTATCCGGACTGACCTAGAAGATAAGAGGTGAGTTGTTTGGTCCCTGTTTGGGGATCCTAGAAAGCAGCCCGTGCCTTGCTTTCCGCCTGTGGCCTGGCCGGGAGAAACTTGAACCTGGTCTAAAGTTTTCTCCGCGGAAATCTTTAGTAAAAGGCGAAAGATTTATACGCTCTCACCTGGTCTAGTCTTAATTAAAGACCTGATGGCGCTACCTGAGACCACTGTGGAGGTGTTTTCCCAGTTCTTATTTTCCCACTGAAATAAATGGGTCGTTCATCAGATTTCCTGGAAACCCTTCGCCTTTGGATGCTGTGATCACTTTCAACTCCTAGGCCATCTTGTTAAAAATGAAAATGATTTCATGTCAAAGTTACAGATTGAAGCCCTTTGTGCGAATCCAGAGATCTTAAGGAGGTTTTCAATTCACTGGGAAACACCAAATCAGTAGATTATAATTTTGAGTCCTGGCTTTAAAACAAACAAACTGGTGGAAGTATTGACATCATCAACCTCTGAGAAAGGACTTTGACTTACTATGTGTGTCTGTGTTTTCCAAATAAGTCATACATACAAGAGCATTTCAACATACCTGTGGAGAATGGAATTAAAGTCTATTTTGGTACCAAAAAAAAATATTGAAGCCCATGCATAGATTTTACACATTGCCTTTTCCACGCACCTTTGGTATGAATGTTTATAGGCACAGATTTCAATATTTTTGCACCAAAATGAGTTTATCTCTTAATTCCATTATTTCTTACATGCTTATTGATTCATTTGAAAGAGTTACAAAGAAAGAGGGAGGAACAACAAAAGGTCATCCAGCCACTGGCTCACCTGCTAGTGACTCACCGGAAGTCAGGGGATTCATCCAGATCTTCCCCTGGGGCCGTCTTCCACTGCTTCCCCAGGTCATCAACAGGGAACGGACCCCACAGCGCTGGGAGAGGAACGGGTGCCCATAAAGAAAGCTGATGCACATCACAGCCAGTGGCTCTGGCTGCATCTCAAAGGCTGTCCCCTCTCCATGGACTTTTTAATGTACTTTTTTTGTTTTAAAGATTTATTTATTTCCCTTGGAAAGTCAGATATACAGAGAGGAGAAGAGACAGAGAAAAAGATCTCCCACCTGCTGATTCACTCCCCACGTGGCCACAACTGTCAGAGCTCAGCCAATCTGAAACCAGGGACCAGGAACTTCTTCCGGAGTTTCTCACATGGGTACAGGGTCGCAAGGCTTTGGGCCATCCTCCACTGCCTTTCCAGGCCATAAGCAGGGAGCTGGATGGGAAGCGGGGCCACCAGGATACGAACCAGCACCCAGTTAGGATCCCCCGGTGCACGCAAGGCGAGGGCTTTAGCCACTAGGCTACCGCACTGGGCCCAACTCTTGCACTTATGCTGTAGGTACTTTCCTAGCTTGGTTGCTCCTCTTAGTACTTTGTAGATTTTATTCCACAACAGCCTGGTTCTTGCTGTTGCTGTTGGAGAGTCTCTTGCTGGCTTAATTATACCTGCTTTAGGGATGATCTAGCCCTGTCCTCCAATTGCTTTCTATCATCTTGTCCTTTTGTAACTGTACTGAGAGGGATCTGGGTGTAGACGTCTTTTTATTAACTCTCTTTGGAATCCGTTCTTTCTTGATCTGAAAAATCATCGTCCTCCATCTGTTCCCAGAAACTCCATGCCAGGGTCAGCACGATTTTTTTTTTTTAAATCATCTTCAACTCCAACTGGACATTTTTCAGCTTTTCATTCTATCAATTTCTTAAATATCCCTTCACATTTTCCTTTTGTTTGTTTCCCCTTCATCCGTTTTGGTTAACTTCCTCAGTGTTTTCTTCCAGGTTACCAATTCTTTCTTTTGCTTTGATTAGAGAACTGCATGAAGCCATCTTGTGGGGGCTCTTTTCGTTTTTAAAATATGTACCTGATGTTCTGAAAATATTTTTTCTCGTATTTTCACTCAGTTACGTATCCCACTAACATTCGTTCTCTGCAGCTTGAGTCTGTGGCGTCCGGACACGTGCTGACGATCCCTCCAGCTCCAACACAGCTTTTGTTGTCCGTGCTGGTTCTGCCTGCGGCACCTGTCTCCCCGTGTACTTTGCATTGCAAGTTCCTAGTCAGCTATCGCTACAGAAATCCAACGAAAGTTGGGTGGAGGGTGAGTCCCCAAGAAAAATCCCTGCGTGCTTCTCCGGGCCCTGCAGCCAGCTCACCGCCCAGCAGGCTCCATTTTCGGTTAATCTTTTTGCTTTGACATCACTGGGCATGCACACGCAACGGTTGTTGCCCTCCAGATCTTTGAAGGACAGACCCGTAGTTATGAATATTCACGCACGATGTCAGAGACTTTCCCGTTACTCCTGTTGATGTGGCACACGTGGGGAGCAGGCGCGCTCCTTGCTGGCACTTCGTATTGTGGTTCCCCATTTTGCAAAGGCTGTGGTGGGGCCACTAAGATCCAAGTCACCTGGGTGTCAAGATGGGCGGAGGCCTACGGGACATCCACAGGTGCACCCGAACACCTGCTATCTAACTTTTGTGAGCTCCACTACTAGTTTGCTCGCCCTTTCCAGGAGCTCAGTTATGGAGACAATGTTTATTCTATTTCATTGGGCTAGGTTCTTAGTTCTTAGTTCTAAACATTTCTCCAAACACAAGTTTTTCATTAGTTTCTCTAGTTGAAGAAACTAAGAAGAATTCCTTGGATTTCAAAACACACAGGAAAGTGGAAACCAGAGCCGAGCGTCTGAGCTCCTGGCTCACTTTGACATTGATAATGCAAAAATAAGGATGCCTCAACTCCTAGAGCCAGCATCTGTCATGTCACTCCTAATAACTCCCCAGGCAGCTCTGGAATCAGAAGTAAATCTCCCACAAATTGGGATAACTTGAGAAAGCAAAGTGGGGTGAAAAATCACCGTCACGGAGTGATTAGATATATTGCAGCTGAAATAAGAATCCTGCATGTTTGGTGTTCAAAGCTGCTGCAACAGGAATAGCAAACTCAGTTGTAGCTATTGCTGCTAGGACATCCCAGCTTCTAGTCTAGATTGGAGACCACTTGTCCTAGAGGGGAGCTGTTGTCGAATACGCTGCTAGAATTCACACAAAGCTTGTCAGTACGCTCAGAGAATTTTCTCATGTGTCAAAGTCCCAAATGATCACATTTTAGGAGCACGTTATGAAAACGTATGGAAACACGTTATGTGGGCATGTTCAGAAAGTATGCTCTATTGCATCTTAGAAGGAATCTGAGCAATGCTCTGTAACATTGTGACCAAACACGCATCAACAAACCTTCGCCAACTGTGTGTGTGTGTGTGTGTTCAGCGCTACCAATTGCAGTTCTGCGTTGCTTCACCCCATATTCCGAAATCTTCACGTGAAATAAAAACTGCACGAGCATTCCGGGTTTTGTCTCTTCATCTCGTGCTCAGGCGATGTTCACCTCGCGTAGCCTTTTCTCCAACTGAAGGAAGAGAGCGTGAGTCTGAAACGTCCTGTAGAGGGCGCTATTGATATTTGCCAAATATACTAAACATGCAAAAAAAAAAAAAAAAAAGGTCCGTAAACTAGTTTCTGTTTAAAAGTCATTAGGTTGATCTTTGGGAGCCGAACTGAAACTCAAAGCCCAGGCAGACTAATAGCTATTAAGCTGTTTAATACTTTGGGAGCCTGCGCCCCGGCTGGCTTGTTCCGGACTTGGAGCCCGAGCGATCCTCCCCTCCCCCCTTTTATTATTTCACGAACAATCCCTCCTCTGGTCTGTCTTAACAATGGTGCTTGGAATCCAGCCTGGCTAACACACTGTATGCCCTGTTGTGCTACATGTTGAATGATTTGTGTGTCTTTGAGAAAGTCCAGCTTCTCCTCTTCATCTGGAGTCCCCGAGGCTCTGTCAATTACTCCCACAGTTCCCCGCCATAACATATTTCACGTCCGGGAGAAAAATCTTTTTTTCCCTAAACTCTTAATAGAGATATTTTCCAACAAAGACAGAGGGTCAAGAGGATCTTCTTGGGATATGAAAGGGGAACGTGACCCTGGCTTCTTTTTTCTTGTGTATTATTACAAGGCAACGGGTGTTTGCCTGGGGTTTTGGCGATGAATCAGACTTTTAATAAGTTTCAGCGAGAACAATGTTCACGGAGATAACTTAATTAATTGCTCTGCTGCGTGAAGGCTCGTAGAGATAAGGTTTGCTCCTACTGTGCAGCCTGTTGGGGGGAAAAGGCGCCTGATGCTTCCCCACGCCAGTGCTTATCGGCAAACCTTCACGGACGGCGTCCTTGCGCTGCTCTTTAAAAACAAACGGTTAATAACTGCAGCAAGCCGGAGACGCAGTGCGCCTGCTCACTCTTGGAAAAGGAGGTGTCCCTGTTACAGGCTGTGCTGCCTGTAACTTGTCTAATGTGCACATAACTTTTCTAGACCTCTCTCTCTCTCTCTTTCTCTGTGACTTGTCATCTCTGGGTTTGAGGTTTTGGTATGGTCCTTTTTTTTTTTTCCTCTGCTCTGGCTCCCAGCCATTTCCAAGTGCACAAATTTGCTTTGCCCTTTGGCCTGGGTGGCAGCATTTTAAGGGACGCCAGGAAGTGGGATGGGAATGGATGCCTCAGAAGGACAGTGGGTTTTTTTTTTTTTTTTTTCCTGCTGGCTACAATTTACATACCAGGAGCCCTATAAGCCTCCAGCGCTTTCTAGATGCTATGAAAGAAAAAAAAAAATTAGTTTCTTAGAGTCTGGAATGCTTTCCCTGGCAATTGACAACAGAGTTCAAATTGAGTTTATGATTCGGACTCTAATTCAGACTTTCGGCGTGCGTTTTTAACTCTTTGAAAGATGGGCCAAGCGCAGTACAGGTGGTGGCGCCTCTTGTTGTCTTTGTGTCATTGTCGGTTGCATTGCTTGGTCTTCACTGAGCATTCTGCTTTAGAGCTTCTTGAAAAAGAAAAGAGCGAGTTATTGGCGTCTCCTCACCTGGATGCATCCACCGGCAGGAGGCTGAGAGCGCCGCTCAAACCATCATCTGTTCTCCGTCTTATTTAGAACGCACAGCCATGTCCTAATTTCACCAGAAAGGTTTTTATTGTCTTGTGTTGGTGAGCTCAACAGACACCCCGTGGATTTGGGCGAGGGAGTGTCACAGGTGCCCTTGGGCATTAAGCATTGCCATTAGTCGTGACCAGATG